TATCTAGTTAGTTAGTTAGTTATTAGAGAGGGTGGGTTTCCCCATGCACTTAGACCAGTATTGGTCCATTGTGCTTCCCTCTAGGATATTCTACCAGTCTCTATACCCTACCGATATTGGTGCGTACCATCAGTCCCGACCGAGCCAGCGAGTTCGGCCTCTACTGGCTTGGCGGTATCTATAATGCTTCCCCATCTATCAGAGGGGTTAGAGACTACTGTTGGGCGGGAAATGTCCTTGAATTTGGCTCAGTGACCTCCTTTGGAGATATGAGGTTCTTTTACGTGCCGTAAAGCTACGACACGGGACCCACGGCTTAAAGTCCCTCCCGGAGGACTTGTTCCCTGAAATTTTCCGCCCTTAAAAATTCGACGACCTCCGCCGGGTTTGAACCCGCGTACCACGAGTCATGAGGTGGGAACGTTACCTCTAGACTACGGAGGCCGCTTGTGTTTATCTAAAACACCGTCCTGTTTATTTTTTAAAACACAGCGTGTCGGAGACTGGATTCTGTCTCCGCCTTCAGATAAAACCTACTCAGTTGAGCCCAATCGATAGAGCTAGTCCCTATCTCCGGAAATAGACAGAATCTAATCTCCGAAACGCTGTGTTCGGAGAAATAAACAGGACGGTGTTTTAGATAAACACAGGAACACAGATAATGTCCAGAAATATAATAGTTTTACTCTCTCTATAGGATCTTGATTAATGTTATCTTCCCATCTACAGCTAGACATCTAAAATGATCTCTTTCCTTCACGTTTTCCTACCAATTTCCCATTTCCTTCATGCACGTTGCATGGAGCGTACACAGACATTTAACAAATCTGTGTGCCAACATCTTGAATCGTAGATATTCTTCAGAGCATCTGAGTAAAACTGTCACAGCACAATCCATTTATATTTGGCAGTATAAGATTTATTGTTAACGTATCGATTTCTGAAAGATGCCATGCTCCTGTACTCGCCAGAAAAGTCTGTGTGTATGTTTTGTGCTGTTGACGTCGGTTCATGTTCGCTGTATCCATCAGTGTTATCGATTGTAGACATTTTCCTTCTAAAAGTCTAGTTTACTGGACAGCGTCATCAAGCTTTGCCCTACGGATTATCTTCCCTTTGGGACTGTTCCTGTTCCCCCCTTTTGCCATCTTCTATCCCTTTATACAAAAGCACACATCTCCCAAGAGAATGATGAAACAAGTTAACGGTATTGGCGTTCCCATGGTAACTTAACTTCACTTTCCTTTCGCCAGGTCTTCACTTGCGACGCTCTGCATCAGTGGCCCTACAAGCTACCACATTATCAGAGCAGCCGGTTTGACACCGTCTTCATTTGCTGCCGTAGACTAATATGGCCACCGTGCACGTAAAAACTAGATGTGGCCGTGATCGAATTCTTATGGAGGAGTTATTGTTGAAAGGGACTGACGAGAAAGATGCGTAGCAAGGGTATTTCAGAGGCCGTAGAAGAGAAAAAAACTCCGTGGCCTGTGGTCCGCAATATACCGACCGAGCGACCGCCGAATGTCGGCGAAGTTAGTGCCAACTTTTGCGAATAGAGGGTGTCACGTGGTCAGCGCGGCGGATCCCCACGTCCGTTGACTTTAACATAATTAGAATGAAGAAGTCGATAAGGATGAGATGGACAGGGCATGTAGCACAAGGGGGGAAAAGAGAAATGGATATAAGATATTGGTGGGAAAGCCAGAAGGAAAGAGACCACTAGGAAGACCAAGACATAGATATTTTCCTGTCTTCCATACGCGATTTTATTTATGTTTTTCAACCACTACATCTGACCACTTAGCTTCATTGACTCCTGTTAATGTAACCTCTCTGACTGACTGTCTCTCATCAGTGTTTAAAAACTGATTTAATTTCCCCACATCACTTTTTAGTTCTTTACGTCCAACATTCATATACATTTTCCCAAACTGTAACTGATATTCCGGTCTAGAAAACCGAAATTAACGGCCGTGGAGATTCGTTGCGCTGACACGTGACACACTCTATCCNAGAAAACCGAAATTAACGGCCGTGGGGATTCGTTGCGTTGACCACATGACACTCTCTATCAGCTAAAGTTGGCAATAACTTCGCTGACAGGCGGCGGTCGCTCGGTCGGTATAGTTCGCTTGCGGAGTAAAATCACGAAGTTTGTTTTGGTCTTTAATTTTCTTCTTTAATGCTCGCTTCTACTTAGTTTATTTTTGTCAAGAATTGGCTTGTACGCTACCGGTACCTTACCTGTACCACTGCCACATGGCACATGGTGGAGAACACGAAACTTATTCCTGTGGTCAACGTGACTAAAGGAAGAACAATATATGCCCCTGCTCCTAATTTGTTTTCATTAAAAACGCAGTCTTATTTCGTTTTATATTACGAACTAATGCTACCAAACTCCGTGGCCTGTAGTCCGCAAGCTAACTATACCGACCGAGCGACCGCCGCTTGTCAGCGAAGTTAGTGTCAACTTTAGCGTATAGAGGGTGTCGCGTGGTTAGCGTAACGGATCACCGCCGTTAATTTCGATTTTATAGACCGGAGCCGCTATTTCCTTGATATATGTCCTCTGTTATCTTCATGAGGCTGAGTGAACCCCGTTCCAGACCTACTACTTTTCAGAAAATCTAGTAGCGTCGGGAATCGAACCCGAGCTTCTGGATCCGTAGTCAGGAACTCTGACCACTAGACCACAGGGGTTACCAGAGCTCAGAAGTAAAACATGTAACTCGAATGTAGAAATTGATTCGCATCTTCAAAACAAAAAGTTCTGGGAAGAATGGCTCGCCTGCTTTCCTTTGTTACCAAACGGACCGCATAGAAAACGATGCTTTCAACAATTCTTTGTTGCTGCGTAAACGTCTTTACCGAGTTGTTACCTAGAAACGATAGGGGGATACATAGACACACAGACTCTCCTTTGATAAGACACGGGACGCACAGAAAATGACGCGTCTTTACCGTGCCATTGCCTAGAAACTACAGGATGGATACACATACAGACACGCCGACTGATGGGAGGGATTTATAAATACGTCGTTGAGATGGGGTCAGTTTCCGTGATGTGTATCAAATTTCATGAAGATTGGTTCAGGCATTCCAAAGTTGATTAAGGGGAGGATACAGAGAGACACAGAATTGAGATTTTTTTATTGCTAGTGGGGTGGGACTAAGTCCCTTGTACTGCGGCCACTTCTGGCCTATTGTACCAGCCCCAGATGATAGGTGAGGGTGATTGTGGAGCAATTGGTGGAATGAAGATTGGCAGGGGAAACTGAAGTACTCGGAGAAAACCTGTCCCAGCGCCACTTTGTCCACCATAAATCCCACTTGACTAGACCCAGGATCGAACCCGGGCCGCCGCGGTGGGAAGCCAGCGGCTAACCGTTTCAGCTAAGGCGCGGCCCACAATTGAGGTAACATAAGCCTGTTTTAGGAAAGTAAGTTAAAAATGGTACCAGAGCCATTCGATTGGATTACGTCAGCTGCTCGGACCCTGGGGTCTTCGTTTCATGGCCATGCATACGTTGTGCTATGTAAGTTGAGGCCTGACGAAGTTGCTGTCCGCCTACCAAATGCAAAATAGAGAAGTCTTAGAAAGTATGTATCTGTAATTAATATGATGAAATGTACCAAACAAAAGATCAACCATAAATGAACATTTAGATTGGCAACGAGTTAGACCTACCCCATTAATTCAACAGTTTCGTAATCAGTATCTTTGTATGCCATCTTATTTCGGTTTGCCGCAAGGAATCAGTGCGGGCGGTGAGTTAAGCTGAAGATGAGGACTATTGAGGTCACGTTCTGTGACGTCATACCTTCTCCACCCCCGTTTGCACAATTTTGACAAGTGGTTTATGATCACTCACATAACCGCGGTCTTGCATCTCTGCCGCAACGCATTGCTCGGTCGACCTTGGCCTCGTTTTAAGTGATAGATGTCACCCATAACTGTCCCGTCACCAAGCCATTATTAAGTCATTACGAGATCTGTCGCAGTCTTTTCCGTCTCCTGGTCACTTTGTGAAGGTGTCATAGGGTTCTTGCAATTCCCATTAAATTTAATCTCTAAACGTTTTCACACTACAATTTGTGTCAAGGGCCCCCAACAAAGGGCTGTATTATTAGCCCATCACAGTGACCGCGCGATCTAAGGCATGAACCGTCTTCTTCCGCTCGAACACTGGGATCATGGGTTCGAACCCAACTCGAGGCATGGATGTCTCTGTGTGTTTATTCTATTGTCAGGTGTTGGGTATGTCACGCGACAAATAACTATGCGTGGGTCTCGGATTCAGCGAATCTTTATTGGACACTCACACTTACACGTTTACAAGTACAATTACTATCCACTGCTTCACTGTTATAATTACTTCTTGTTCCACTGTCAGCTGCTACATTTCGACTTTCTTCAGCGGCGGCTATTCCAAGACTGTCTGTCTCTTGTCGAAGCTGGGCTATTTATACCTCGGCGGTTGCTATACAGTGAGCCTTTGTTATAACCGTGGAAACTTCTCTCTATGCAATGCTCGCTGTTAGAATTACAGTGCCGCTATTGTTACTTCCTATGCAACGGTCTGTTCTAGCGTTTCCATGGATTCCAAACACGTTACCTTATGTTTGTGTTGTTCTGTGTGTAGGTAGCGGCCATGCGACTTTCTGATCCCCCGTTCAAGGAGTCATAGCGAGTGTGTATAGATTATAAAACTGAAAAAGTGGCCAAGGTCCAAAAAATGACTTTAGAGCCACTGGAAACCAAGGCACAGGCGTTTAGTACAGAATTCTTAAATATGTACGATAACAAATTTCACACTTCAAGGCAACGGTTGATCAGTAATAGGCGATGTTACCGCGGAATTGCGTATTTTTCCAAGACGGACCATCATACAACATCCCACCTCAGAAATTTGCAGCCATTGTTTATGGTAGTGATATCAGACGCCGGAAGACATGCGTGCAGTGTGACCGAGGAACGGCCTCTTCTGTTGCAGGGATGGAGGCCCTCGAGACAGCCATCAACTACTGGGACGACGCCCTGGCGGCGTATAATTCCATGTCCGGAGGAGGCGCACCCTTGGCCGTCACCAGTAGGGAAGAAGCCGAGTTCTGCAGGGACCTTCAGGGACTTCTGGAAGCTGCGTACAGACTGCAAGACCAATGCGAGCTCATGTTTTTGGACCAGGTTAGTGTTTGCTGTATCATCGGCGATGGATCTTTCGGTTCTGTTACCCTCCCTATCTCATTTTGTTTCCTCTAAATTTGAAAACCCGAAATGTGATAGCGGTAGTTACCCCATGGTTGCATTTCTTACTTATAACCGGGGCCCGGATTTTGATGACCTAAAAATATTTAAAAAATGACCTATAAAATGACCGAAAAAAATATAAAAAAACCTAAAATATGACCCAAAAATGTAATATGCAGGGCCCGGATTTTGATGACCTGAAAATACTCAAAAAATGACCTATAAAATGACCGAAAAAATCCAGAAAAATGACCTAAAGGAGAAAAGAAAGAACACTTCGCTTCCATGTTATTCACATTTCAGAAAACATATGAAGAAAAATTCCCTAAAATGGCCAAAAATGACAAGAAATACCCTTAAAAGTCCAAAAATTTACCAAAAAATTAACCCAGAAATGAAAAAAAGACCTTAAATCTAAAAATGTAAAAAAAATGACAAAAAAAAATTACTTATAATATTTACATTTCTGTAACCAGCAGCTCATATCCGAAATTTATATATTTAAGAGCATCGCATAGGCTACAAGGAAAAAAAGATGACATGTCTTCAAAATCCGGGCCCTGCTTATAACTGATAACTTCCACATTAACTGGAAGTAGCCCTATTAAGTATGAGATTATCTTAAGATATTTGCGCGACGTCGAAGAAGACAAACCAAATGTTGCGGACGAAATATTCTAGAAACACTGATTTTCCTGCTGTCTGTACACAATCAAATCGTAATGATGCTGCATGAGGTTATGGCAACACAGTGCGCCAATAGATCGCCGCCCTCGTTGGTTGCAGACGGTACTAATTCTACCTGCAGATGGAAAATCAAGGCTAGAGATAAATGAAAATGTTAATTTTTTTTAATTCGCTTAGTGGAGGGTGGAATCCTACTGGGTCCACTCGGCACGGCGGCCACTGACTGGCCTATTGTAGCCTGCCCCTGGTGATTATGATGATGGAGAATTTTGCGGAATGAAGATCGGCAGGGGAAACCGAAGTACTCAGAGAAAACCCGCCCCAGCACCACTATGTCCGCCACAAATCCTATTTGACCAGACCCCGGGATCGAACCCGGGCCGCCGCGGTGGGAAGCCAGCGACTAACCGCTTCATATGGCGCGGCTATATCAAAATGTTAACGGTAGTCTGTCGTCAGCTGTCATTTCTCTAAGACATGCTCATTGAAACGCCTTATTAACACCTAAATTTTGTATTTGTTGTTGGATGTTATGGTAACACAGCTAAAGATTATTGGATAATGAATGCAAGTAGCCTTTGGTACTCAATTAAGTATAAATTTTTCGTCAGGTTTATTTTAAATAACGTTATAAAACATATGTTAACATAAACATATTGCATTTTAGGCTCTCACAGCGGTGAATATGAAGAATTTTATCTTCTGCGACATAACGCCGTGTAGTTTGGTGAGTCATCGTTATTTCGGAGGAACATATTGTTCCCCTCTGCAGGGTCGAAGAGTAAGTCAAAGCTGAGCTTAGCGTGCTGCCTGCTTCATGCTGGTTTCTTGTTTGGCTTATTCTTCGACCTTGAAAATGGAGGCCAGATTTTCTTCGGAAATTTCGATTCACCTAAAACTATACAGCGTTATGTCCCAGCTAAACCAGTTTTTAGTAATTTGGTTTTTGGTTAATTTGAGGTAAGAAACTCGTAACTTCCCGCATGACTGTAAAGTTAAAGTAAAGTAAAGTTACAGTAAAGTAACGTATGAGCAGGTATGTAACTATCGCTTGTCTCTTTCAGCGATCTGTGCTGTTCCGCACAGACAGCTCCACGCGTCTCCATGGAGACGCCAGTACGGGATTTACATCTTCGCCGGAATCCTTCGTTTCAGCACAGGACGAGGTGAGTGCGCATACTAAGGATACCAAAATAAATGCAATTAACAAAGGATTGCTGAAAAATCCTTTGAAAATCAAATAACTGAGGACGACGGCGACAAATTACATTCACCGGAGAAATTAACAGCAGATTAATTCTGAAAATGCTGTCATTCACAATCTTCTATGAAACCAAAACACGTAGAGATTAAACTATATATAACTATAATTTTACCAGTTGTTTTGTATGGCTATTGTAGCGTGTAGAGCCGTTGCTTCAGCGATCATGAAATGGGTAGTTTCTGGCTCGGTAAATACGTTCCCGCGGTAGCGGTTACGCATGCAACGGGGGAAACGGGGTGTTGTCTACACGGTCCGCTCCGAGGAGTTAAATAGAAGAGAACTGGAGAAACCAGTTCAGTTGAGCTCCTGAAGGGATGCTAAAAAGTGACGGTGCTATAGTTCAGTTGATAGTTTTGGCAATCATTTCTGTATGGGACTTGAGCACAGAAGCAGAGGAATAGCTATTGTTAAAATCCGTTACCAGGAAACATCTAGTGAGAGCACTGCAAAGGAATAGCAGTTGTTGAAATCTGTTACCAAGCAATGACTAGTGAAAGAATACTGAGAAGACTTAGCATGAAGTGATTTCTAGTGTGGAAATCAGAGGTGTGTATAGGTGGTCAATAAATCCATTCACCAATCCATATCCCATCTACAGTGAACTCCTAAACCATGGCAGTATGAAACCTCATCTCTTGCCTCAAAGTAAGAATATTGAATGTCTAAGAACGAAATGGCGAGGAAGGAGAGTATGTGGACTTAAGATGGAGGAAGTAGCATAGGGCCTGGGAACTTCACATCTTGCGTGGGCCTGATTATGTCCCAATATAAGGGCCAAAACATGTAGCGCCAACAGCATAATAAAACAAATGTTGATACAATAGTCTATTTTGTATTGTATTGTTGTGTACATGTAGACTGCCCCCATTATACACATTATACATATATCTTCTTATTAATAGATGATTAAATCACGGAGGATAAGATGGCTGGAACATGTACCACATTTGGGGAAGGCTTCAGCATTAAAACATTAAAAATATTATACAGTTGTGGAAAAAAAGATATTAATTGATGAACTCAATAGCAATGTTTAAAGTTTGTCAAATATTTTACAGATTTAACCATCTTGTAAAAGTAAAAATTAGAGCAATAATGTCAGAAGAATGTAAGTTACTTCTGGGAACTATAAATACCCTTAGTAATATTGTATTTAAGCATCTTCTTGCATTAATGTATATATTTGTATACATAGGGGGCACACGGTAGCGTAGTTGGTTGAGGCACTATGCTACAAGCCGGAAGGTTTAAGTCCCGATGAGGTCATCAGATTTTTTCAATTTACTTAATCCTTCCAGCCGCACTATGGCCCTGGGGTCGACTCAGCCTCTAACAGAAATGAGTACCAAGAATCTTCCTGGGGGGTAAAGGGCAGCCGGGCCGTAAGGCTGACAACCTTAGCGCCATCAATGAGTGGATTGTCTAGAAAATGTGGGAACCTCAACGTCTCACAACCCTATGGGCCTCCATGGCCTGTTACAGGGATAGCTTTACTTACTTTACTTGTATAAATACATATATTTCTGTCTCAAATGCAACTGTTTATCTTGTCCCGCATCTCTGTTACAACTTGTTTTGGCAGTACACAGCCATCATCAGGTGCAGAATTGTTCCACTGTGTGTTAAAATTACATATCGGGTGCGAACACGATGTTGATTATTAATCAGAATATATTTAAAATCAGAATTAAAACTTAGAGTCAGAATCTCTTAAAATGTTATTTTTCATTGTAGTAATCGGCTGTTCATTGAAATATATTTATCTGAGAGTATATTTGCTGTTGATTCTTGTTGTGCTGCCTTCCATTGTTGCAGCATGGGTATTTTCTGTAATGTGTAAATAATGTGTTGTGTTATATAATATTATTGTTAGTTCTATAAGTTTTGCTAATTGTTTGTCATACTTATGTGTGCTATTTACACAGCTCGTATAGATGTTATTACTTGTATGTTGTCTGTAATATGTAAGAATTATATTATTATTATAATTATTATTGTTATTTGTTATGTTTATTGTTTGTGTACATTAGTTTACTTTTTGTACTTATGTATGTTAGAGTGACTTGTGTGACTTTCAATGAATAGCTGGTAACTGCAGCGAAGAATAACACTTAAAAAGTTTTTGATTCCAAGTTTAAATTTGAATTTTAAATAATTTTAATTAACAATAAATGTCACGTTCATATGCAATATGGAGCTTTTAACATACAGTGGACATGCACATGATGATGGTCGTGTATTAGCAAAATACATACTGATAGAGAAGTAGGAAAAGAATATAGGTTGCATTTGAGGCAGAAACACATGTATACAAGTAAATCCTTATTAATAAATATTACTGCTGTAGTGTCTACAGATTAGTTAATCTCTTAGTAGTCTTGGGTTTCTCTCTCTGTCTGCTGCAATCACAGAGTGCATAGTGTTGTTGTGACCCATTTATGATAAATTTGTGATATGCTTTTAGGTGGCAGATCTCAAGGAATTTGAAGAATTTGTCGATATCTTTCATGATTCAGACAGTCTACGACTTTACCAGTCAGCACTGAAGAAATTGGAGCAGGAAGGCATTCCATACAGGTGAATACTAGAAGAATCTATGACTTAGTGCAGCGAAATTCTTAGAAGGAAACCCAATATCAACCCGGAATGTTTAGTGTAGCCCCTGTCCCCCCCCAACATCAAATATCATAAAAAAAAATTGTTGTTTTGGGCTTATACATGACCTCCCTCTTTTATGTTTAGTTTAAGCGCTTTGTCCAAAGAACGTTTATAAATTATCAGGCTGGGGATTTTATGGAATAACTCATCAAATGCAGTTTTTGAAATGTATTGTTTACAAACATGAAATTTTAAAGGAGACCACTGAGGAGACTCAGTATGGATAAGGGGATGATCAGTTTAAAAAAAATGGGGATTGAGGATGTATATTGAATTAATTTGGCTCAGAATAGGCTGGCTTAGGTGAAGATGGAATGAATTTTCGGATTAATAAGGAGTTTGTTGAGTAGCTAAACGAGTCACCTTGTGAAGGACTCTTCTCACTTAGATATTTATATTGTGCTGCTTCAAAGGAGACATTTTTGTGGTTTGTTTAATGGCTGTGTCAGGGCCTCAGGCTGCGTAGCATCAAATGATAGAATATCTGTTGAATTAGAACCTACCTACCACTCAGCGCTACAGCCCTGGGTGAGCCTTGGCCTCCTCTACAACCAGTCTCCACAACGAATGCCTGCTGCCATAGGAATGGACCCACGCATGATGACCTGAGGCTGGTTGCTAGGCTTCTGAACAAAATTCTTTTTACAGGATGAGGTTGTTAGCCTCGTGTCCAACCCCCAACCTGGAGACCACGGTATCTCTCTTAGTCTGGACTCTACCCTTTGACCTTTCCGGCATGGATGACCCTACTGGTAGTTAAACTACCGCTGGCACAGCTCTCCAGATCACAGAGTCATGCAAGCCCCATCACCATGACAAGGTGGAGACTCCTTTGGGGGGGGGGGGGGTTGAATTAGAAAGGATCTGGAAATGTCACCGAATTTGAAGTGCCATCCTATAATTTGTCAGGAGGGATCTCAGTGATCCCACAAAAGACTTCAGTCAGAACAGTCAGTGTCTTGCGAGGGATTCAACCTGGTTATCTCCCAAATACACATCTGAAGTATTGCTGCTTGAGCCACCTCAATCACTGCTCCAACATCAAGACTGTGTGACATAATATTTATCTCTTTCTGTATACAAAGAAAAGGGTTTGTGAGTGTGAGATGAAAGCTCAGTCTCAGGTTTCCATAGCAGTGTACTGTCAAACGGTAATACGTCGTATGAACATAAGTTATGTATTAGGTCATGAATGAGCCAGCAGTCTTTTGTTTTCATTGCATCAAATATGTTTTGTGAGTACTAATAATGTACTAATGAAATTAGGAAGGTCCAGGAAAACCATGTGGGACTGAAATTAAATGGGACACATCAGCTGTTGGTCTATGCCGATGATGTGAATCTACTGGGTGATAATGTAGATACCATAAAGAAAAACACACAAACTTTAATTGATGCAAGTAAAGAGGTTGGTCTAGAAGTAAACACAGAGAAAACTAAGTATATGTTGCTGTCTCATCACCAAAATGCAGGGCAAAATCATGACATAAAGATAGGAAACAGATGTTTCGAAAATGTGGCACAGTTCAGATATTTGGGAAGGGCAATAACAAATCAAAACCTGATTGAGGCAGAAATTAAGAGGAGATTGAACTCGGGTAATGCTTGCTACCATTCAGTTCAGAACCTTTTGTCTTCTTGTCTGCTGTCCAAAAACATAAAAATTAGAATATACAAAACTATAATTTTGCCGGTGGTTCTGCATGGGTGTGAAACTTGGTCTCTGACATTAAGGGAGGAACATAGACTGAGGGAACAGGGTGCTGAGGAAAATATTTGGACCGAAGAGACAAAGTGACAGGAGGTTGGAGAACACTGCATAATAAGGAGCTCCATGACTTGTACTCTTCTCCAAGTATAATTAGAATGATCGAGTCAAGGAGGATGAGGTGGGCAGCGCATGTAGCACGAGTGGGGAGAAGAGGAATGCATGTAGGATATTGGTGGGAAAACCAGAAGGAAAGAGACCACTGGTAAGATCAAGGCATAGGTTGGTGAACAGTATTAAAATGGATCTTAGAGAGATAGGTTTGGATGGTATGGGTTGGATTGTTCTGGCTCAAGATAGGGACCAGTGGAGGGCTTTTGTGAACATGTTAATGAGCCTTCAGGTTCCATAAAATGCTGGGAAATTCTTGAGTAGCTGCAGAATTGGCAGCTCTTCAAGAAGGGCTTAGTTCCACGAGTGAGTAAGTAAGTAAGTAAGTACATAAGTATCACGAATAAAGGAGACAGTTTATGATAGAATGTTATTCATGGGAGATGACATTAAATATTGGTCTTGACATGTCATTTGATAACATAGGATTAGAAAGGAATACAGGAGAAAGTAAGGGAAGTTTATGGTATGAAATTTTGAGTAACAAATAATGAGATTTACCATTGAATTCTCAGTGAGTGTTATATTAGTTTATTGCAAAATCTTTTTTTTTTGTGTCACTTGCTGCAGTAAAACATCATACTATCAAAGCTGACAGTGTTTGTCAGTACCAGGGTACTGACACAGCACAACAATTTGCAAGAATGTCTGCTGATATGACATAAATTGAAAAATGAGTCTTTCATATTGCCACTTTTGTCTCAGCAACAAACACAGTATTTTGTTTGGGTTCGACACTTCTTTATGATGAACTTCTAACCTTTGCAAAGATGTATTACACAGTAGTATGGAAATGTTAAGGCCCCATTAAGTTGTGAAGGAGAGAAAGTGATTGTAAAATGTTGATTCTTGTGCACAACAGGTGTCTGCGCACTCAGATGGTGCACTGCAGTTCCGATATTGAATTCCTAGGCAAACTTCACTGTATTCGTCTGGCATTCCAGTATCTCTTTAAAGATAGTGCTACATGGGTCTGGTTTGCAGATACTGGGCGTCAGATGCTGGCGGATCTCATTATCTATGCTGAGAAGGTATTATGCTAATGTACTATTTTATCCAACTCTCTGATATTCGTTGAACAGATTGATGAATGGGAAACAATACATATCTTGGCATATAAGAATACATATACTCATACAGGTACACAAGTGCACAGATACATCACATTTATGAATAATTCTGAAGCTTCATAGTGCTGAAAAATGTTCTGCGACATAAATTTGAATAGAATACACCAAAGAATAAGCATACATTTAATGTTTTTAATCACAACATAAAATTAAATAATCGTCATAAATAGAACCTGTCCCTTACTTTATGGATGTGACTTTAGAAGTTGCTTCTTAATAAAGTTGTGACATTGTTGCATGTTTCCTATGCAACGCGACTAGAAATTGTGACGGTCTTGGATTTGGACGAATATTTATTGGACGATCACTCTTTTACACTCACAAATACAATTATTCACGCTTGTAACATCTTTGGATGTTTCTTCTTCAATGTTACATCACTCTTGCACTGATAATCTCAGTGAAGTGTCTTCTGCTCTGCTCGGAGCTCAACTGCCCTTAGTTCTCGTCGGATATGAACTCTGCTGGTGTCTTGTCAGATACGAACTATTTCTGCTTTTGCCAAATATGAACTATTATATCCTGTGCTTGGACTTAATAGGGAACACCTTGTCGAAGGGTTAATTTCGCCCACTACTATGCAATGAATCTCATGTTGCCACAGGAATACATGTCTGCCTCAAACAACTTGTTTGTGAATAACAGTGGAAACCCCACTGTTAGACTTTCATCTCCGGGGCAACAATTTCCTAGCCATTGACTAGTGATGGACGTCTTATAGTCGGGCTTTCGGGCAGCATGTCACAATATACAAGTATATGTAGGGTGTCCAAAATGTTCGGGCCATAGGAAACCTTACTTATTTGACAAAACATGGGAAATTGTAGAAGGAAAATTTTGTTGAAAATCACGTATTTCCAGTCTCATATCTTGGAAGCTTTTTTTTATGTAGGATGAGCTGTTATGATGCTACACTCATTAGATATCAGCAATACAAAGTTATGGCGATGTTGCCAAGGTGACATAATGGCAAAATAAGGATGTGTTTGCAGGCTAGAGGGAAATAGTAGTGAAGGTGAGATGGGTACAACATGAAACAGCAATAGTGAACAAAACCATTCTATTTGAATATACTTGTACAGAAGCAACTTTGCCAAATGGCCAGCTGGGACAAAATGTTGCAAGTCCACAAAACCACACGTGTGTATGGTACACCATGAAGTTTTGTACATTCGCTACAGTAAGCGTTCCAGCTGGCGTCCATCTTGTTGCTCACACATGTGAATATAACACCATATGCTAGGGTACACATGTCAAAGTGTCACTGGGGTAGTGGCGGCTCACACACCGTGTATATTGTCCCGCAGTGCAGCATTGCTTTAAGGGTTAATATATTGGTAAGAGTGGCAAACTACAAAGTGTTTGTGTGTTCATCAAACCCATTCATAATTTGTGTACACATATATAAAGAAGCTATGTAAGCCTTCTTGAAAAAGTGATATGTTGGCAAATTTATTTCAATATGGGATAGCTCAGCCGTCATAGCGATGGACTACAGGCTGGATGCCTGGGATTCAATTCCCAGCAGGGTCAAGAGATTTTTTTCTACTTCACAGCATCCAGATCAATTCTGGGGCCTACCCAGCTTATCAATCGGGTATTAGAAGCTTTTTCACCATGGGTAAAGCAGCTGGGGCAGTTGACCCCTCACCTCCATTAATGCCAAGGTCATGAATGGTGGAACTGTACCTCCACTACTCCATATGACTTCATGGTGTGGTGCTTAATTAATTCACTTATATTCATCTTTACCTTCATACTTGCATCTGATGCCACAGAATACAGTAGGATGGGATGTCCCATGAGTCAGTGTATTGCATACAGTACAGAGAGTTATGTTTAAACATGACAAATTCTATGTCCAATAGGTTGGTTTGACCTTATATGGATTGACAGAATGCAATAAATAAAGTAAAGTAAAGTAAGTATTTGAATTAACTGTTCAGGTAGCTCTAGGACACATGAAGGTTTAAATTTTAATGAAGACCCTCAGTATCAAATATTATGTAAATCTGTTTATCTAGAGCTAGATTATTAGGTTCCCACAGATGGAAATAGTAGAGCTAAGGTACATGTCCTCATTCATTAACCTAAAATTGTTCTTTTTTTTTTTATTTGGGGAGAAACATATATTTGAGTTATATGTCAGATGGTTTGGTGTTCAGATTAAAATACTGTATGCATTTCGTATCTTTCCCCATGCATATTACATGCCTATCCCATTTCACCCTTCTTGTCACAGAGATGTAAACTAAGTTATATTGGGTTTCAGGACCCTAAAGACTTCTTTATAGCTTATGAAGATATGCTGGACTTCCTCCAAGATCAAAGCAACTGGGTCAGCATGGAGCAGGAGTTGAGCTTGAAAGGAGTCAAGGCAATTACCTTCTATGATGTTGTCCTGGATTATATTCTGATGGATGCATTTGAAGACCTTGAATCTCCGCCGTCCTCAGTAACTGCTGTTGTACAGAATCGCTGGCTGTCCAATGGATTCAAGGAAACGGTGTGTATAACAATCCTCATACAGTCTTGCAGTAAACTTATGATTTCTAATTCAAGTCAGACATGGTTTGTTTGTGTTCAGCAAATTTAGAAGAAGAATTTGGACAGTATTCTGAGGGTTTTTCTTGGAGTTTCTGACTCTGTGGCCTCACTAGCTTAGTCCAGTTTGTGTACACCTTCCTTTCTGCGTGACATGTACAGACATCAGCTTCCCTATCTTATGATCTTTTTGATGTCCTATTTATATGCTGTATGTCTACCAGTTCCAGCCCCTCACCCATCATGATATAAATTCACAAGCTTTTTCTTCCATTATAGCAGCCATTGAATAAGGTACTGGTATATTCTGTTTTGTGTTTATGTTATAATAGAATATGTAGCAATGGTGAATGTCAAAATTATGTTTTGAAAGAGTTATGAATGTTACTACAGTCAGAGAGAGCCCTTATTGTATAAGTAACGATGTGTGTTAACATCTGCGTTTTTTGGAAATGCTCAATAAGGAAGGTATATTCTTATTTGGTGTTGTGGTAAAGTAAACTTAATCTGTTTGATTCTAGTCAGTGTTCTTTAACTTGAGTTGCCGTTTCCTGGAACACAAAATTATTGAACTCAAGTTACATATCTAATGATGCTAGTCATGTTTAAATTTGGAAGGCTGTATTCTGTTTTCTCATTCTAGTTTAACTCTACTGTGGGCACGTTACTTTGCAAGTAGGATATTCACAGCAGAGCCTCATTTTTTGTTTGTAGATTATCAATTTATTGTCATTTAATGGTCAGTTAAATTGCTTACTATTGTGCTAATCCATTCATCTTTTGCGAATAAAATTTGCCCGGGCCATAGCTGCCTTCAGTAGCTGGCCATTTTGTCACTTTGTGTAGCAGGGCATGTCTAACCTGCTTCACATATTTCTCTGTCAATATAACTGTTTGCCAAAGCGATTGTCAAGTACATTCTCTGCTTTTGCTTCATTACTCACTTTGTTAAATATATTTTCTTATTCAGTGAAATTCTCCTCACTATGGTAGAATAGTACCTCCCTAGCCTACCTTTTACTTGTGTGGGATAGTGCACATATTGTCTGAAAACTGACAGATGGTATTATTTCTCTAACTGTAATAAGACACTGTCCATCTTGGTCATATGACATCAACAATAGAATCAGAGATGATGGTGTCACCTGTTCCTTCAGGTAGTGACTGAGGACAGAGCAGACAGTGCTTCCACTCATTGCGTTTTTCTACAGGCACTACATAAGAATATCGGATAATTGTTATTTCCCATCTCCATATGCTTTTTAATTCAGTACATTGTCCATGCATGCTTCTCAATATTTCTGCATAAATTCTTGTTTCCCCCAACTGACCTATGTGTCCAGCCCATTTCAACCATCCTGTCAGTACTAGCTGACCTACAGATTGTGAAGTTCCTCTGTATTCAACATTAACTTACTGTGGCCATTAGTTCAATTGTTATTTAATTGATTCTAGGCCCTGACAACAGCAGTGTGGTCAGTTCTGAAAACCAAGCGACGGATGCTGAAGTTTCCATATGGTTTTATGTCACACTTTTATGCCATCTCTGAACAAATGTCACCTTTGATGGCCTGGGGCTTCCTTGGACCTGATGAAAATCTAAAGGATGTCTGCCAGTTCTTCAAAGTATGTATGAGTTTCTTCATTTGGATTCTGAATGAGCCAGTGCAAAAATACATTTACATTTTTTGTTATACTTTCCAGATAACATTTCACCTCAATCTATATAAATAAAAATGTAACTGTTGGTTTGACTCTCCTTGAAGATCTCTGAAAGTTCTTCACTGATTGCTTCAAAATTTTGACACAACGTTGCATTTCAACACGCACATGTTTTATATGCCTATTATGTAGATGTCACACCCGTGACAGGTAAAAACAGGTAAAAGTATTAATTTTTTTCAATTTTAATATACTGTAACGTGTTATACGTCGAATACCAACAGATCGTTGCCTAAGAATAACCGTGGCAATGAACTGTTGAAACAGCGGGTCATTGCCTAGGAATAACTGTGGTAATGAACTGTTGAAACAGCGGGTCGTTGCCTTGGAATAACCATGGCAACGAACTGTTGAAACAGCGGGTTGTTGCGTTGGAATAACCGTCGCAACGAACTGTTGAAACAGCGGGTCATTGCCTTGGAATAACCGTGGTAACGAACTGTTGAAACAGCGGGTCATTGCCTTGGAATAACCGTGGTAACGAACTGTTGAAACAGCGGGTCATTGCCTTGGAATAACCGTGGTAACGAACTGTTGAAACAGTGGAAATAATGCATTTCTGCGGCAACGAGCACAGAACACGTGAAATGGAACCCTCGGCGAAAGTGCCCTTTATTGCGTCCGAAACTGGGTTATAATAGTCCAGCTCTGAAGAAATTTTCGGTGATACTGGACGTGATAATAATTGTGCTCGCTGGTGTAGAAGTGAGCGTTCAATAACTTATTTGCTGAATCCGAGACATGCGTGGAAGTTATTTCGTAAGTATAGTTTATTTTTTGTTGTTTTTCTTTTCGTTTTCTAAGGACAAGCTTAGGTCGTCGTACTCGCAGAGTGGAAGCAATGCGTCGAGTAATTTCAAATAAAACTGGGGAAGAACGGGCAGACTGAGCCACAGCAAGGCATGGCCGGGCACAGCTAGTATTTTTAATATAATCCATTTTTGTGTCATTCTGTTACACGTAACATAAAACACAACAGTATTTAAAATTCTGAAAAGTTTTGTCTGTAAATATGGTTTGCAAAATGTGGGCTCTGTGACATATTTTGAAGGATCCTAAAATATCTCTGTTTGTTGTTGGACATAGATTACCTCATATGAGTTAATGATTCAGTATGAACATTTTCACTCTTGTTATCTTCTACAATTCTGATACACAGCTACTAAAACTGCTTGGCTTGGTTTTCTGAAACGTCTTGCAAACAGACAATTTATTTTGTGAATACATCCATATCATTTCATATGTTGTTTTCCATGTTTTTACCTGGATTTATAAAGCTGGTACCCAGGACATGTATGAGTATTGTCTTATTAACTTGACCATAAGGGCTAAGACTACATCTGAAAGAAGTTAAGGGGTAGCTGTTTGACTTTTCAATGTGCCCATGACTCAAGGCAAGGACCCAACCCATTAACCTCTATGACATATGCCATACCATACTTGTACTGAAATTTTATTTGAGCGACTCGTATTTTTAATTCACAGGCTCAAGTAATGGGATTTCTGGTTGATATCTTCAGTTTCCAGAAGTGTCATTATACTAGTGTGGAAGAACTTGCAGCAGACTTACTAACCCATCTTAAGTCAAGAGTGGAAACAGTGAGCCAAAAAGTGGCAATACCAAGCAATGCAAACGTATGAACAGCAGCTGCTGGTGCTCTGGTGCTATGTAGATAATAGTGTAAATTCTTGACTGAAAATATTATATTGATCTGTACAGTATTATTAGTTAACATGCATAATACTAAATTTTATTCCTTGCAGAAGAAGACGAAAAAGAAGGGGGATGAAGAAGTAAAGATTTGGGGGCTGTTGTCCTTTTAGAGATAGATACAATTAAACATAGTTCCCCCCTCCCCCAACAGTGCAATTCCATTTTTCTTGGTGGGGTGGCAATAACTGTGAAATGTGCAACTTTAAGCCTGGCTTATTATTGGAGCACCAAAATGTAAAATGTATATGGTGAATGAGACTGCGGAAAAAATTATTTGATACTCTTTACATAAATAGATTAAGACATTGTAAAGGAAGGAACAATTCCAAATGCATATGTACTTACTTGGATGTTTTAAAAGAAATTTACCATTCCATTGCATATAGAAGTTGAATGATTCAATAAAGTGAATGTAACTTACTCTGGGAACAATTTACTTTTACTCTCATGACTGCAACACATTGTATGCATATGTAATTTCATGAAGTTCAGCTCAGAGAGTACAGTAATATAGGATCTACCAAAAAGAAAACCAGGATTTCAAACAAATGCAACTCAGGAGTGAAAACAAATATGATATTTAAAAGTATATAACGTATGCAGTCTACACAACAATATTATGTTTTCAAAAAACAAAAAAGACACTTTTCATTTCATGCATCCTGTTGTGTTACGATATACAACCTCTTTGTTAACCGTCACAACACAACAAATATCAAGGCGAATGCCCAGCTATGGGTCTGCCACATGTTTCGGCTATCAATAGCCATCCTCAGGCAAATACATGGTTAAACATATTGTGACATGTTGAGCTATGGATCACCCCTACCTCCCCAGCGGTACGTGGCGGTAACGTAACGCTCGCGTTACTACGGTAATAGGCGAGTTCCCGCCCCGCCACTCCGCTCCGCGGTGACGTAACGCGCAACGCTACGTACCCGTAATCAACTTCCTACTGTGACGTGGCACTCATTACGCAACCGGCAAGCACTGCAGCTATAAAAGTGAGCTGCACAGCAGGTACCAGTCAGTTCTACTGTAGCAGTCGGCGACTTCAGTTGTACTGTGACAGTCAGCCAGTCAGTGCGTTACCAACGAGTTCTCAGTTCGCAAGTTACGAGCTACAGACGCGTGTGCGATAACCAGTGCTAACCAGTTATATCTGGAGTGTGTAATTCAGGGAGACTTGTATAGCTCCCGCGTTATTAGTACGTGAAGACTCTTGAAGATAGTGTTAAGAGATTTTGTTGTAGGGATTGTAAAGAATGGAAACCCATAACATTGTTATAATTAATTGTAGCCGATAGTTGTAGATTGTTGAATAAACCAATTAACGATCTCTGCGGCGTATTCTGTAACGAAACACGTTACAATATATACACCACTGAACTGCAGTACTGTTAAACTGGATACAATACTATTAATCATATAAAACACTTGATGTAAAAATACATTTAATCAGATTATATAAAACAGAAGTTATGTTGTAAAACAAGAATAAAATTTTAATTGATGTTATATAACATTGAATCAATCGTTGGTTTGTGTAATTTTGTACGTTCCCATGGACAAATTGTAATATTCTGTATTTTTTCTTTTTGTATATAAGATTGTATAGGAGGCTCGTGATGTAGATGTTAATATTAATTGTTTAGTTGGTGCCTCATCTTACAAAGTATTGTCTGTACTGTAGGGAATGTAAACAACTATCAACTAATGAGCAGTGAAGAGATTTAGTCCTTAAATACAGGATGGCACATGAAATGATCCAGTATTTAATCTATTAATGAAATCTTTATTTCAATTACAATACTAGAAACTAACATACAAAAAGAAAGACCGTTGTATGGAGTTTATCGTCTGTGAATCAAGTGTTCAATATGACCACCATTACATCCAGCAACTTTTTCAACATGAACTGTGATGTTGATTACTCAATGGCACATATCATTATTCTGAGCTCATTCGGCAAATGCCATTCTTCTGATGCTTGTTTTGAACTGTAAGTTTAGGCAACACTCATTTTGTATGGACACAAATTCAAAACACTTTTCGATATTCGTTGCACTGATCGTCTGGATATTCCTAGTTGTGACTTGTTCTACATCCTAGGCTTGGCCAAAAAGGATTTATTGAATTTAAAGAATAAATGAAAATGAAATGAAAGCCTTCTTGATTTAATGGGGCTTCTTTGCAGCACCATTCTCACAGTGTCAGTGTGTTAAATGCTCTCCAGAGAACGAACACATGTAGGCAGGCGACGTTTCCTCACCAACACTGATGGTTCAATGTTGGTACTTCTTGTTTCAGTAAAGAACACTATTTTATTCTTCGTTTGTCAGCCATCTTCTGTAAACTGACGCATGAGCAGGAACAGTTCAACGAGAATGACACTAGCGCGCTCGGAAAGAGTAAGAACTCCATGATCTACTGCCCTAAATCCAAATTGTTCATTTACCAAAATATTATATTATTATTGACCAAGTGTTTACAAAGTCTTCTATATATCACTTTCTCAAATATTTCTGAGAAATTAGTTAAAGATATGGGTCTATAATTACTAATAAGAGTCTTATCACCCTTTCTATTATGGGGTTTATTTCAGAAAATTTAAGTCGATTTGGAAATATACCAGTTGCTAGGACACTGCGTGGTAACATGCCTGTACAGTCTTTCTCACGTTCTGGTCCCTTGGGACTCGTGACCATATTGTATTGTCTCATTCATTCATTCATTTTATTTTTCTTCGAGTAATCCATAACAGTGATCATCACCTAGGATATAGAAGATGTCCACATACAATAAAATAAGATACAATAGTGACCGTACAACAAGCAGCCTTGTCAGTTGGTAATACAGTAATACAAAGACATTACACCCTATTCAGTAATACAATAATACATTAATATGATACATTATACACATACAATTGCAAAATAATATACAAATGTAAAATAAGTGTGTAAGTCAATATAATAATGTGACCCAAACAGCAACATAAATAAAATTTGATTTCATTTATCAGACCACTCGAAGTATTCATTTATTGAGTAAAAAGATTCCTGTAAAAAAAATTTCTTAGTAACCACTTTAAACTTATTAACATTATATAGCAATTTCCTTATATCCCGTGGTAAATGATTTAAAATCTTTATACGCATAGGAACCTTTCTTGCATTTGGACAAGTTAACCGAAGGCAAATAAAAGTTAATGCTTTGTCTTTTATTTATCATATAATATCTAGCTGCTAATTACAAATTTAGATGCATTTTTTTGCTACCAGCAACAGCAAGGAGTACATGTATTAAGAATAAAAAGGTAAAATATTTAAAAGTCTAGACCTTGTGTTTTAAGTGGTGCAATTGGTCGGAGACTATTCGAAACATGAATCCAATATCTAAGGATATAGCGTTTCAAGAATATGTTTCAATTTTAAAGGCTGTAAAACAAGAACATCAATGTTTTACAGAAAGCCTTATAATAAATTGCAAGAATAAGGCTCAAGAGAAGAGTGGCATAGAAAAGAAGAAGGTTAAGGCTTCAGAAAGGAAGAAGGAGATTTTAGCTGAAGTTAAGAACTTCTTTCAGAAGGTAGCATCTTACAAGATGCTTTACGCCTTGAAGAATGATGTACGAATGAGTACAGAAAGGTATGGTGTAGCTCTTTTAGAGCACTTGGGATATAAATATATGGCTAAAGTTTTAGAGCCAATTAGAGAGTTGATAAGATTGGCAATTGATAGTCATATTGAGGAGATTCCCACATTACCAGCCTTTAGAGAGCCGGAGATCACTAGATGCAAACAATGCCTAGTGTATTTTTGTGAACAGTATGGCCACCTGTGTTGCTGGAGAAAGGAACACAGAGATGAGCTTGAAATCCCAGACTTGACTTATGAGAATGGAGATCCCATATATTTGAATAATCAGATCTTCGAAGAGGAACATGTTGATACTGACATTGATAAATTCACATGTTATAAACAACTTGAAGATCAGCTTGTGAGAAGTGAGAAGCAGGAGATCTCACAATTACAGGACTCCATTGTCGCACAATGTTGTTACATCTTTTGTGACCGATACTCAATTGATGTAAGAGAGAGCCAAGTGGAGTATAGGAAGTACTTTATGTACATTTTCCTATATAATAGACTGTTTGAAGGAAGGTTTGTATCAAGAAGAGGTTTGCGACCGAAAATTGAAGGCGTGAACGAAGTGATACAGACCAGAAGAATTGAAGAAGAGGCTTTCAATTACTTTGAAGATGAAGTGAATGCCTTAAATGGACATACAATCAGTGAAATATTGGTTGAAACAAATGATATTTGCGACGAATTAGAGTTGAAAAGAGTGACAAGACAAGAGGTTAACTTAATGGATAGTTATGAGTTAGCCGAGATGTCACTAGAAATGAGGTCGCAAGAGTCATTAAGACTACAGGTCATCGGAATGACCTTAGTAAAGTTGAACCAAGATCCAGAGACCTATACCAAATGGAGGGACAACCGTCTTGATGTTTATCATCAGATTGGGCGAGTCACCCACACAAAGAAGGAAGTGAAGGGTGAATGCCAGTTTGGCCATCGCTGTCCTTATTTGAATTCGAATGGTGAGTGTTCTAGATATAATGACACTCTATTTGACAAGAGAGCGACTATAAAGTATCTATTTAGATACTTGCACTGGAAGAAACATTAAAAATAACTGTTATAATTCTCTTCTGCGTTATAAAAGCGTTTTTGCTATTAACAGCATTTCGCCAAAAGGGAAGACCATATGTAATGACAGAGTGAACATATGCAAAATATACCATCCTTAAATTCTCTATCGTTAAAAGCAATTTGAGGGTTCTAATAGCAAAAGAAGCAGAATTCAACTTAGTAACTACTCTGGTTATATGCCCTTGCCAGGATAATGTCGAATCAAGTGTCACTCAGACTTGAGACTTCCCTTTTCGTCGCCTCCTGTAATGAAGCAGGGTCACGGTGAAAGTATTTGACCCCGCCTCCACACGGATGACTAGGACGCAAGAAAGACTACACCGGCAAGGCCAGCAGCATTTTCTAAAGACAGACCCATCCTCTCGTCAGAGAGGGTGCCCCTCAAAAACATGACCGTAACTGTCAAACAATAATAAATATCTGGTCATGAGCTCCAGACAGGGCACGACACCAAGACTAACTGACCGTTAGTCCCAATGTGACTTTGACGTCTTTACAACAATAGTGGAGCTGTGTTTTCTGTGCTTCGTAGTCCATTATTATTAGTTACGGAATCCCGGACACGTGAGTATACTAAGTCAAATACTGTGTGGGATGTCATTATATGAAGAGACAACCACTAGTTGAACTGTCCTTTTATTACAGTTGCACAGTTTACACGGACGAACTTGAGTTTGAAGAATAATAATAACAATAGTGAACTCCTTGAACACTGAACTAGAATTGTAGAACGGTAGAAATCTAGAACTGTAACTATATCTTCCAAGTCAAAGTCACATTGCGACTGACGGTCAGTCAGTCAGTAAGTCTTGGTGTCGAGCCCCATCTGGGGCTCATGACCAGATATTTATTACTGCTTGACCGTTACAGTCTTAGTTTTTGGGGCGCCCTCTCTGACGAGATGACGGGTC